TGCAGTCTACATCACCACATTGTTGTCCTTGTTTGCGTTTCTCTGCATAGACTCACGTTGGTCCCGTGAATGGTTTTATCGTGTTGATCTCTTGGTTCATCATCTTCAACGCTTCAAGGATGGCTTTATCTGCAACTGAGTCCATGAGTCAGCCTAAGGTGCACTATCACCATATTACGCATCTTCGTATAGAAAGATGTCATGTTTGGTGTTATCTATGTTGTATTATGTTTGAGCATGGACAATCTAAATAATAATTTCATAATTAAAATATAATGAAATGGGTGTTTCCGTTTTCACCTCGTGAGCACAGAGAAAATAGCAAAAAAAAACGTCAAAACAAACGTTTCTATTATTGTTCCTTGTTGCTTGCTCAAGGGGTAAACATTTCTAATTCTAGGGTTTCGATTTACGCCTTGGATACGTTTGATCTCTTTCTGCAGGTTGATCCAGACGCTAGGATTTGAGAAGACAATGGCGAATAGATTAGACAATGAGTACGATTACTTGTTCAAAATCGTCCTAATCGGTGACTCAGGTGTTGGCAAATCCAACATTCTCTCTAGATTCACCAGAAACGAGTTCTGTCTCGAATCCAAATCCACCATCGGCGTTGAATTCGCCACCAGGACATTACAGGTTATAAGAGTTTTCAGATTCAAACATTGCTCCTTGTTGTTTTGACAGATCAGATCTGAAGATGGATCTTCTGATGAATGTCTTTAGGTTGAAGGCAAAACAGTGAAGGCTCAGATATGGGACACAGCAGGACAAGAGCGTTACAGAGCAATCACAAGCGCTTACTACAGAGGAGCCGTTGGAGCTCTTCTCGTCTACGACATAACCAAGAGACAAACCTTCGAGAATGTCCTGAGATGGTTACACGAGCTTAGGGACCATGCTGATTCCAACATTGTGATCATGATGGCTGGAAACAAATCAGATCTAAACCACCTGAGATCTGTTGCTGATGAGGATGGTCGGTCTCTGGCTGAGAAGGAAGGTTTGTCGTTTCTTGAGACGTCTGCTTTAGAAGCGAGCAATATAGAGAAAGCGTTTCAGACTATCTTGTCTGAGATTTATCATATCATAAGTAAGAAAGCGTTGGCGGCACAAGAAGCTGCGGGTAATCTTCCGGGGCAAGGAACTGCTATTAATATATCTGAGTCATCTGTAGATAACAGAAAAGGATGCTGTTCAACCTAGTTATCTTCTTAACTATAGCAGCAATGACTAATCAATCACACGTTTGTTTTCAAGAACATCTCTTTTGTTTTTTTTTTTTTTTTCTTGGCTTAATTTCAGCAAGTATAGTATTTACCTTTTTGTTGTTTGTTTTATTGGATTTATGTTACAAAAGATCGTTTAGTTGTATTGATACTGTGATCATTCACAACATTTTTATTGGATTTATGTTACAAAAGCTCGTTTAGTTGTATTGATAAGTTGAGTTGATGTCTCAGTGTCGTCCCAAAAATATTGGTGGCCTATAAAGCACAAAAAATTGTTTCTCCACCATACAAAATATAATTATTTTGAAATACAAAACATAAAAATTATAAATTTCAATTCACAGGTTTGATACCATTTTTAAAATTTACCATTATTGAATAATTATTTTCACAATTACTCTAAATTTATGATAAAATAACACTAAAATAATTTTTTAAATATTTATTGAAGATTTATAAACTCAACCTCAACTTCTTAATATTAAATCCTAATTAATAATCACTAAAATTTATAACCAAATGTTAGTATATATTTTGATTGTTGGTATATTTGAAAAATGGTATTTAACTTGTGATATTATTTTTGAAAAGTGGTATTTAATCAAAAAAAAAGAGAAGTGAATGGGGGTGATGCACACGAGTGGCTCGGTGAGCATTTACTAAACTGAATGGGCCCCCGCTTTCAGGCTGAGATAGAGACGGGCCTGAATAGATTTGGTTTTTTAAAAAAAGGAAGTTGGGTGACAGACAGTCTCTTTCTCTACAATCTCTCTAATCTCTAGTCTCTCACCTACAGATCCCATCAATGACTACTTCCCTCGTCGAATCCGGTTGGCAGGTACTACTACTCCTCCCCCTTTCCGATTCTCTCGTTTTAGTTGATTACTTGCGATTTCTCTCTTGTTTTCTCCGTCTTCCACTTGGCCACATTGTGAATCAGTCACGTGCGCGTTTTATTCCACTTTAGCTTCGTTGTGGTAGTTTGATCCATCGGATTAAATTTGATTTCGAGTAGATTGTAGTAATGTGGTTTAGATCTGAATATGACTAGACTTAGTTGCCAAAATCACGTTGAAAGTATGAGCTTATTTCCAGGTTGGGAACTTAAACGTGGTTTAGTATACTGTTGAATCTGAACTTAAACGCATTATTGATATACATATATATATATATATATATATATATATATATATATATATATATATAGAGAGAGAGAGAGACTCAATTGATACTATCAATACTTATTCTGCTGTTAGTACTGATTTTTTTGTTTTGTTTTTTTTTGCGCGAAATTGTGGTTTGTAATGACTTTTTTGTCTGAGCATTGAAAATGTAAGTTGCTGATCCTTTTTTTTTTGTGTATGTGGGATGATGGCAGTACCTTGTGACACATTTTAGCGACTTTCAACTGGCTTGCATTGGGAGTTTTGTTCTCCATGAAAGCGTCTTCTTCTTATCTGGCCTCCCTTTCATATTTCTCGAAAGACAAGGCTTTCTCTCCAAGTACAAAATTCAGGTCATTATTCTCTTCTTAATTTATGAAATTAATTGGTTTTTTTTATCGTTTCAATAGAGGATCTTGTCGAGGTTAAATCACCAAGGAATCAATCACTTGTAATTAAAAATTATTTTGTTTCTCCCAGTTCATGACTGATTGTAAAAATAAATAGTTGTTTCACTGATTAAAGTTAATTTATTGTCATTTCTGTAATTACTAGTGATTAGGAAGCTGATCCTTATTTCTCAGCTTAGCTTACTTTTATGATGCAGACAAAAAACAATACACCTGCAGCTCAAGGAAAATGTATCACACGCCTCTTGCTTTATCATTTCTGCGTCAACTTACCCCTCATGATGGCCTCCTATCCTGTCTTCACAGCCATGGGAATGAGAAGCTCTTTTCCTCTGCCGTCCTGGTATTATCATCAGGTTCTTTAGTGCTGTATGCTTTTTTATCCTTTGGGTTCTTTATTGCTGAACTCTTCCAAGTGACACAATTCATTACGAAATGATTAGTGTCAGTGTTGTGTTGAGCATCATGAAAAGAACCTGAGCTTATGTTTGATCAGGTATATTGATATAAGACCCTCTTTTTTTGGGTGATGCTTCTCTGCAGGAAAGAAGTTTCTGCCCAGATATTATTCTACTTCATCATTGAGGATTTTGTTTTCTATTGGGGTCATCGGATCTTGCACTCTAAATGGCTCTACAAGAACGTGCACAGTGTTCATCATGAGTAAGTTTCTAGTGTTCACATTCTGGTGATGTTTGATAGTATTCTGAAACAACAACCGTTTTATGATGTCTCAGATATGCCACACCATTTGGTTTGACATCAGAGTATGCTCACCCAGCTGAGATTTTGTTCCTGGGTTTTGCTACCATAGTCGGTCCAGCACTCACCGGGCCCCACTTGATTACTCTCTGGTTATGGATGGTGCTGAGAGTGCTTGAGACAGTTGAGGCACACTGTGGCTATCATTTCCCATGGAGCCTCTCAAATTTTCTTCCTCTCTATGGAGGGTAAGATCACACATCTGTAGCCACCCCTCTTGAACTCAAACCTGTAATAGAATTTTGTTAATGGATTTTTTTGTTAATCAGTGCTGACTTCCATGACTACCATCACCGACTGCTCTACACAAAGTCTGGAAACTACTCTTCAACTTTTGTGTATATGGACTGGTAAAACCTCTGAGCTATTATTTTCTCTTTGCTTTTTTTTCTGGAAAGAAAGACATCTTTACCAATTGTATTGTTCTTCAGGATCTTTGGTACCGATAAGGGCTACAGAAGACTGAAGTCTCTTAAAGAAATCAATGACTTGAAACAAACGTGAAATCACCAGTTTGGATTATAGAGAACATTTGCCGCTGAAATGTTGATTTACTGAGTGTCGGTTTGCACTCGTCCTCTCTTCCATTTTGCTTCCCATGTTGCTGCAGCTGTTTCTGTGTCTTAGTTTATTATGCATGTCTAGGATTGCTACAAACGTGGCATCTTTGAAAAACATTTGGTACTTCAACTCTCGGAGTAGCTAAATTAGTATGTGTGTTGGGCGATCGAAGCATTTGGTATGAGTCACCTATTTGATTTGTAGCTTAATGTTACTCTTTCTGAGTAGATGCTAGTTGCTATTATCAGCCCAACTTTATTTAGCCCATACGTATTTATCCGAAATGTACTGGGTGGGAGTAGTAGCTTGTAACTTTGTTTTCATTCAGGATAAACTCTTACAGAACAGGTAACGTAATCTAGACATTCGATCTGATCAGTAATCATTTATAAATAAACCACACTTAGATTTGACCAATCAATTTTAATCACTCGTAGTGATCATGTACAAAATAAAATACTCTTTGATTAGACCGATCAGTTATCAATCACACAACACCGACACACGTACATATGTGCATCGCCCCTTTGGTGGTGGGTCACGTCCTTTTTGTGGTGTAGCCGTGTAGGGTTTCTAATAAGTTCACTATTTTCGACACGTCCATACTCTTTACCCAATTATCTTTTCTCTCTTCCTTTCCGTGAGATTTAGAATTTCTCCAACACAAACTTGGCCCACACATTGCAAAGACTCAACATGTTTCGTCTAGCGAAAGAAAATTCTCTGTTGCTGTCCGAAAGTATAACCACGCGTACTCTAACGAATGGTTTTTTCTAAAAGCAAGGCGAAAGAAAATATGTACATGCTTTCTTATTTATTGAATTGTGAACTGATTCCACCAAGACAGGTGACACATATCCCGTCTTCCTTTTTTGTTTGTCTATTACACATAACGAAAAGAGGCAACAAAAAGATGGTTCAGAACAAACCATACCACCCGGTTTAACAGTTCAAGATTAACCGAGTTTTTTTTCTTCTCAACTAATGCTTTCTCTCTTTTGGGATGGGAGAAGATCTGAGATGCCTTCGTCCCAATGAAAACTCCAAAAACAAAAAAGAATCAAATATTTAAAAGAAAAGAAAAGACGGTGGAGTGATTAGTGTCAAGCAACGTGTCTTTTTCTTCTTTTCCTGAGATCAATGACAACGACGCTTACGTTGTCACTACTATGCTTCGCTAACGCTAGCTTCGTCAGCAACACTGACGCCTCCGTACATGCTTTGTCCGTGATCTCTCCTTTCTTTCCGTTCTTCCTTGACCCCACCCCAACCTTCTCCTCCTCCTCCTCGTCTTTATTTTCCTCACACTCCGTAGCTTCTCTCCGCCTTCCTCCTCCACGTCCACTTTTTTTGTTAAGATACATTTGCACCATCGCACACGCCGCATCGTTAGTCACTACGTCCCATAGCCCATCGCTAGCAATTATCATAAACTCATCTTCTTCCGTACGATCAGTCACAGTAACTTCTGGCTCGGAACTCACGTACGGTTTCAAGTAGTTGTCTCCTATGGCTCGTGACGTGGCTAAAACGCCCAATACTCTTGGACCATCCCAGTATATCACTCTCCCTCCTGCTTCTTGGATCCGATCCAACTCGTCTGGACGATCCGGCTGTTTATTTCATACGTAAAACCAGAGTTTAATCAATTCCACAAACTTTTAATTCCTCTTTTTCAGTGTCACTATACAGTTTGAATGCAGTTTATTTTTATTTTGAATTAATACTATTCTAAATTTAATTTCAATTAATAAAGAATTTTATTTATCTCAAATACTATTGATTAAATAAATGTAATTAATTTAAATATAGATATGTTTTATTTTTTCTTAATTTACGTGGAAAATATCAAATTACAGTATTTGCGAATAAATGTGTGTTATGCATTTAAATTTTTGATATTTTATAATCCAATTTCTAGACCTTTTGTGTCTAATCGAATTTAAAGTAACCTTAAAACATTTTATATAATTTTTTTTGTAAATGATTCTTCCAATATTTCCTAATTGTATTTCTTTCAGCTCTATCTTACAATTGATTTGTAAATATCACACGAGAAAAAAAAATTTTTAACATAATTTATTTCTACGAAAAAAATAACATATTAAAGATATATTTCTTCGAGAAAGAGAAAGAGACTGACCTTGTGATCTGTAGACAAAGGAACTGGTTTTCCATTACGACAGAGAACTGCTCTAGAATCGCCGCAGTTCGCTACAACAATCTTCTCCGGGGTAATGACAGACACAACAGCAGTGGATCCGACAGCGTCACAGTTTGGTGTTTGAAGCTCACACTTGCAGTTAGCACTCATGACGGTTTCCTCCCAACGAACAGCTTCCTTGTCCATCCGCGTGAAGCTACGCTCCATCATCTTCTTCCATTCTTCATTCTTATCAGACAGCGCTTCCTCTTGCACTAGCTCGTGAAGCCTCTCTTTACATCTAGACGCGACCTATTAAAACGACAGTGTATTGCAACAAAATGAATCAGTCTAAAACCGCGAAAATTCAAAAAACGAGTTCAATATGAGAGATTAATGAAACGGCGTCGTACATGAGAACATCCGTGACCGTCGTAAATACCAAAATAATGCCACCTTGATCTTGAAAACTCCGTTTGCTTCCGAACAAAAGAAGGATGAATCGCAACCGTATCTTCCATATCTCTTCTTCTACCGCACACCGATGCGACGCCGTATCTAGGCCTCAGATCCGTCTCCTTCACCGTTTTCTTAGACGGAATATTAACCGATGAATTCTCACATGAAACATTGTTTTCATCTGAACAACCTTCAGGTGAGGCAGAGTTCATAAAATCATATTCCTCTTGTTTATTAGGCTTATAAATCCCCTCTGAATCTTCCGCCGCAGCAGCAGCAGCCGCCGTATGATTAATCTCTGCCGGAGACATCCTGCATCTCTGAACTCCGATCCTTCGTCTCCACCACGACGGTCTCGTCTCGCAAGCTAACGCTTCGTCCTCGTAACAAATATCAGACATGACACACGAAACAACACTCTTAATCAACGAATATGTTTTTTGTTCTTTCGGAAGAGTCGAATAGTGTTTTTGATTATATAAAAAGGAGGAAAGCAAATAAATAAAATATCATCGTTTACACGTTACACCGGCGCGAACCATTTATACACACGCGCCTACCGCTTCACAAACATTTTTTAAAATTCTCTTTCCTTTTTGTAATTTCACTTTTAACTTTGATTTTTTCTCCCCCTCAAAAAAGTCATACGTAGATTAATTGTGACCGTTTATCTGTCACTATGCTGATTAAAAAAGACCACGTAAGTATCACGATCAGGTAAGAAGATATACGTGGTCCAATGAGAATTGTACAGAGAAGGAGAAAGAGGAAGTTCCTTTCGCGCCACGATTGTGGTCCACATTTTTTTCTCTACGAATTGTCACTCTGTCCCCTAACCGAAAGATAAAAATATCTAATCAACAAAACACTATTTATAAAAAAAAAAACATTACGTTAATTTTGATTGTACTGAACCTTAATTTCATCTTTGTCAAGCCTAACTAATTAAGTATGTAAGTTTTATACGGCTAAATGTGTGAGTCACCTTCCAGTTAAATAAGAACTAGAACTAGATTAGATTAGACACGTTAACTTTCATTTGAAAAGTTATATGTGATTTCAGGAAATATCTATTTTTATTATAAATTTTATACTCTAAACGATTTGTAAGTCTCCAATCAAGACAAGTGTGATATTGCTTTGTTGGATTTTGACATGTATGGAGAGGGTTCACTATATATTTATGCATCTTTGAAAAATATCTTATTTGATCTTCATATTTTTGCATTTTCAAACTATTTCCAATATCTTGCATTATCACAAGTTAATTAGTAGTAATGGAACCAGTAAGGTATAGCTAGCTAATAACGTTAAGCGTTCTTGGGAATTATTTAGCCAAAAGCTTTGTAGGCTGATTTGCAAACTGTTTCAGACACTAATATATTGTAATTTAGAGTAAGAATATTGAAGTATATATACTTCATATTGCCAGCAATCATGTATAAGATGAACGCAACTAGTAACAAAACTTAATACCACACTGTAGTAATACAGATGATCCATGGCGAAATCGTAAATTAGATGCATACAAGAGGGCTCCACCTGCAATCATGTATAAATCCTCAATCACCTTCTCCAGCAAATCTCCACCTTCTCCAGCAAATCTCCACCTGAAGTAAGAGAAAGAGCGAAGTCAATTTTGGGTATATCTAAAGAAGGAGGGCTGGGCAAGTACCTAGGATTACCCGAAAACTTTGGGAGAAAAAAGAAAGACATTTTTACATCTATTGTGGACAAAATTAGACAAAGGGCTCAGAGTTGGTCTACAAAACAGCTATCTCGAGCAGGGAAACTTACTTTGCTAAAATCTGTGCTTTGTGCGATCCCAACTTATCCCATGTCTTGCTTCCTAATGCCAGCTAGCCTATGTAAGAGAATCCAGTCGGTGTTAACCCGATTCTGGTGGGATGGAACAGATGGGAAGAAAAAGATTTGCTGGGTGGCGTGGGAAAGGTTGACTAAGCCTAAAGCACAGGGTGGTTTGGGAATTAGAGACATCCAAAGGTTCAACCAAGCTTTATTAGCTAAACTAGCATGGAGGATTATCACAGTACCGGAGAGCCTACTAGCTAGGATTCTTTTGGGAAAGTATTGCCATAAAAAGAGCTTCCTAACGGTCAGCGCACAACAATGTAGTTCACATGGCTGGAGAGGCATTTTACATGGTAGAGATCTCCTCATCACTAACCTGGGTAAAGCCATAGGTAATGGACAGACGACTAAACTGTGGAGGGACTCTTGGATCTCGCTAGACAGGAATGTTAAACCTTTTGGCCCTATAAAGAAAGACGCTTTGGATTTGACAGTATCAGACCTCTTGACATCTGAGCTACAATGGAACAAAGAACGAATTGAGGAGCTGCTACCTGATTTTGTAGACCAGATACGATCCCTTCACCCAAGTACCACCGGAGCCGAGGACTCCTTCATCTGGCAACCGACTAAGTCTGGTATCTACACCACGAAGTCTGGTTATTTTGAAGCATCAGCACACCTTGAGATCACAACACAAGTTAACTCACCACATACCTTTAATTGGAATAAGGACGTTTGGGCTGGGAAGTTCTCGCCTAAGATGAAGACCTTCTTATGGTCTTTAATCCAAAACGCCCTCCCTCTAGGAGTGAACCTACAAAGCAGAAGAGTATTAACAGGGGTTGAATGTATTCGATGTAAGCAAGAGGAATCAGCTATTCACTGCTTTTTCACCTGCCGTTTCGCCACTCAGGTCTGGGAAGAAATCCCTTTGCAACGAAGAATCCAGATCCCTGCCGATATCTCTGTCCAAGAAGCCATTGGTAGGTTCAGGAATGTGGTCTGTCTTCCACCAGTAGGTCTCCCCCACAATGTTTTGCCGTGGATCTTGTGGGCTATTTGGACTGCGAGAAACTCCCTCTTGTTTGAAAACAGACAACAAACAGCAACAGATACTGCTTTGAAGGGGCTTCTACTCGCAAAAGATTGGACCAAGGCACAAGAAACTCTAAAAGGGTCAGGTTTTGTCCCACCGATCCCATCGACACGACAACTCTCCTTAGGAACTCTCCTCGACACCAACAAACTACTGTGTAAAACGGACGCCGCTTGGAATGAAGGAAAAGCAACTGCAGGTCTCGGATGGGTATTCACGGGAGCACATCTGGAATCGGAGATCTGTGGATCCATGGTGGAAGGCTTCATCTCGTCACCCCTTGTTGCAGAAGCCAAAGCGATGAGAGCAGCGCTTTGTGCGGCAATCACACAGGGTTTCTCCACCCTCACCATCTGCTCCGACTCACTAACGCTCATCAGAGCTATCACTGGCAACACCCAGTTCAAGGAAATCATCGGTATTGTGAAAGACATCCGATCGATCTCTTCTGAGTTTGCAAATCTCTCCTTTTCGCACATCTCTCGTTCGGACAATGTTCTTGCCGACAACTTAGCAAAAGTGGCCCTTAAGGCCCATCTATCTTGTACTCAAAACACCTGATTTGGGCCCAGTTTTTGCCCAAATCCATCTTTTCTTATTAATGCAATATTTCAGTGACAAAAAAAAAAAAGATGCATACAAATTTCTTGTTATAGTTCATACAAATTATGAACTTTGTTTCAATATTATTATTCAAAACTCAAAAGCAAAAGTTAGAATTAGACGACCACAAAGATTCTACGCACTGCAAAAAGTATTGTGTACTGAATTTAATTCCAAACCTGTCTCCATTAAGTGGATTTGAAATACTCACGAGATCAAATATAGATTTAACACAACTAAAAAGACATCTCATCTGTTTACACCTGTAAACTGTAAAGCTGTGTAGTTACATTCATATGATTACCTAACTAATCCTTGAGGACTAAAATAACGAATTAGACAAAGGGATCTCACAAATCACTAGTAGAAAGGTTAAAAGAAAAAGAAACCATATAGACAGAAGAAACGTAAACGTTGTCTTTGGTCCCTTTGTGAGCTCCTCCTCTTTACTTCACCATACGCGTGTTACGTAGTAATTGTTGAAATCTCTTAATCAAAATTTTTTTTGATTGAAGTTAGGTCATCAAGCTGCCTCTTACTCTCAAATGGGGCCTCGTTCGTGAACCCACCTATCCAACTAAAACTACTGTAATTGAATTGACTCCCAAACATTGAAACTCCTAGAATCATTGTTAAGTGCCAAACCATTTAGTTTCTGGTTTTGGAATATAGCGTATGAGTTATCATGATACTATCATTATTATATGAATCTATAAAGTTGTTATTATTTTATTATCTAAAATTTTAGCGTGTATGGTGGCATGCACCTCGACCTAGGCCTACGATACATCCGTGGTGTTGTACTTACGTGGTCATATGTAAAGTTCCTATATATTTTTTGCACCTCTTCTCTTTGAATTTAAAATACGTTCAACTTTTCAGCTTAACGTATAAATTTTGGAATGAAGTAAAAAAGCTGAGAGAAGAAACAAATAACTAATTTGCATTTACTGCATCGTGACAACTAGAAATGTTGGA